TTTCCCTACTAGCCAGTCATGCTACAACAACTACTTGTCTTCCAACAGCTCTCCATTTTTGGCACTTATTCCCTCTCTGTTCTTCTAAATTAGGTCAGCTCTGTTGACCTTCAGGGCACACTGCAGTAGCTGAAGCTTTTATTCATGCTTTAGAAGAAAGGCAAGAGGAGGAAGCAACACGCGTGCAGGGAATAGCAAGGTACCACTTATTTAACTATGGTTGTTTTATATTGCACGTGACTTTTCAGTTACATATAAAAAGGTACCGTGAGGTTGAAAGCAAAGCATGCATTCGAATGTGTCTAAATGAAGTTAAAACACTCTGCCTTACCTGTAGTACAAGCTTCGTTGATACACACTCTTTTGAATTCTGTTCCCTCAGGGTTGTACTTGCAGTAAACTGGTCAGACAGATGGTCTTTAAATCGTACTCTAGATGGCAGGCCTAATTGCCTCCTCTCATTTTCTGCTTCAAATGTATAGCTGATCTCTAAACGAAGAAAAAAAAAGTAGGTCACTATATAGAGGAACCTTTGCCATATTAATAAATAAATTCTGGAGGTACGATCTTACAACATTATTCCAGAAGACTGTTTCATCCAATGCTCAGTTTTACAAACTATTTCCAGTTATTTACAAAACCTTCTCCATCTGTCAGTTTTGTCCCTCTCCAGTTGAGGGCCACATTCCTCATGCATGCATCCAGAGGGAGCTTCTAAAAGAAATCCTCCTTTTATTCCAAAAGTATTGTGTTACTTTGCCAGTATTCAGTGCTGGCTGGAGGAGGTAATTGCTATTGAGGGGCCAGTAGAGGGGTAAGATGCAAAACTTTTTAGACACTCTGACCTAGATATCCTTAAATTTCTGTTTTGTCCCAATTCCTTCTTAAAGCAGCTAGCAGGATTTTGACATCAAGTACACTGCTAATTTTAACACTGAAAACAAAAGCGTGTTCAGCGCTCTTCAGCTATGTCTGCTGAGGTACCTTTCGATAGAGCTGAGCTCTGCGCATCTTTGAATACCAAGGTGATTAAACGTTACAATGCCTGGAACAGTACCAAACACACTACATCTCAACAGTGTGCAGACTAGCACGCCTCAGCCACTTCTGAAAGCTGTAAGTACTACAGCAGTTGAAGGACCAGGTCCTTATTCAGGTACGTCCTGTGGGTTTTGCAAGTAACTGAGAAATTCAAACTACCCAGGAGACAGGTTTCGGCTTAAAACCCTTCTCATCTCTCAAAATCCTGCAAAGCTTTCTGAGCTGCAGTAATAGCAGCACCCTGACAACTTAAGAGAAAAAACATTGACATTAAAAACTAATACTGTACATTTTTAAATACATTTATGGCACAGCCTTCTAGGCTCCTATTAATAGAAAGTTTTCTTATTTCAGTCACAAATTTCCATAAAGCTATTTCCATCAATACAGAACACTAGTTTATAGGGTAAGTCTCCCATAAGGAAATAATGCTTATTAATGAGATATGAAATGGGCATTTAAAACTATTTTCTAAAGCAGCACTGACCTGGAAGAGTGCATAATGGTTCTCCGTCTCTTTGGCAACCATTTGTTCATGGGTAATTATGTTACCTAGAAAGCTTCTCTTCAGTCTTTTACCCACAGAAATTAGTAACACGCTAATTTTGTTTACATGATCCTATACCTTTCTATAAAAACAGATACTATGATACTGAGGGCGCTGACTGTCCTTAGTACTAAATCACATTTTAAATTTGACAATCACAGTTTTGGAGAAGTCACTGTAATTTAAATTGAGTGCTGTTCTTCCATAATCTCTAAAGAAAAACAAGCATTTGACAAGCAGATAAAAATAATATTTATCTTCAAAACTTACTTATTCTTGGATTTAAATCACGAGGGTTTGCAGTGTATTGAAAACATGCTTTCACATCCATCCTGTAAAAAGCGTCAAGAACTTAAAGTTAACTTTAGTAAGGTATGGCCCAACAGACTGAAAAGTTTTAATAGTCCACTGAATGACGTTATCAGTCTTAACACTGTGATATTCATGCTATAACAGTCATTTGCTGATTACTAAACTGAATTACAAAGCAGGGAACAACATTTAATCTACAATTAGAAAAAATATTTTATTTGCTTTTACTTTTCTACCCATGAGAAAGCTGTTCAAGTCAAGATACTTTAAATGTTAAATTTTAACAGGCCAAAGAGTAAGTTCACATAAGCGGCAGTGACGTTCATTTTCAAATTGGACACTGTGAACAGAGTATACTCCACGATATGTCTTCAGCACAGAAGTCACAGCAAATTTAAAAGGTCAAAATGATAACACAGATATATTTGTTTAACCTGCATGACTCATGTCCCCTCATAACAACATCAGCACTTATTGAATTTATTGAACAAATTTTGACAACACAGCTCAATACCAGCAAGCCTTCTGACACAATGATAATAATAAAAAAAACCTTACTGTATTTCACTAGGTTCCTCAGAGTTCTTTCTCTTTAGATCAATTCTGTCAGGATGTACTGTAATGCTTTTCATAATGCTTATAACAGGCCGAGATCTTGGGGGGGGGTGGTGGAGAATGCAAAGAAGGGGTAAAAAGGAAGGAAAAGTTTCAGTTAAAATTAATGAAATAATTCACGCGATTCCTTTGTTCTTTTCAAAGGAAGCAATTCGCCACGAAGACATGGCAGGTGCATGTTCAGAGTTGCAGTTGTTGCAGAGAAAGACATGCAGAGATTGGCTCTGAGAACAGTTAGAAGCAGAACAGAGCAATTTAAAGCTAAGCAAGTCACAAAAATGACTATATAATTGTGCATATTAAATACCCGATGGGGGAGCAGGTATATTAACATAATGTTATGGTTGTCATTTTATACACACATAGAACCCAAGAAATTCAAACCCACGCCAATTGTAATTCAGCCCCTAGGAGGAGACTATAGATACTCAAGTCATTCAGGTCAGAAGTCTGGATGGCTATGGAAGACAATGTTTTCTTTTCCTGACTCCTCTACATGTAAGCTTCAACCATAATCTAGCGTTACAACTTTTCTTTTCCTTTCCTTTTTGGCAGGAACAAGAAGAACAGCTGATATGAATGAAAGAAGCAGCTGATCCTACTCTCATGGAGGCATCTAAGGGTTGTTTAAAGTGAGTTCTAACAGGCCAATAAGACATCTCATCCTTTTTTTTTTTAAGCAGATTTCTTTTACTGGACCACCCTTTTACGGTTCAGGAGCATAAAGCTTTTTATTCTCATCTTCTTTGCAGAGGTTTTTGTCCTTGTCAGCAAGCAACTAATGCTCCTTTTGAGTAGAGCATTAAATAATCTAATCAACTTCCATTCCACCTAGTTTGTTCTCACTTCCACAAGCGACATGAGTTGCTTCTGTTGGGTGCTGTTTCAGTGTATTTAAGGGTATTCCAGTTATATACACAGATACTTATATTAGAGAAGGGATCATCAAAAAGTAGTAGGAAAGCTCACTGTGCCTGAAAGGTGGAGCTGTGTGCATTCCCAGAAGCTCAAGTAACCTGTTTGGGAAGCCTCTGCCTCCTGCTCCTTTTGGCCTTGGCAACAACCCACCAAAGCCTTGAACTTGGTACAGAATTCACAGCTGATGAGGAAATAGTCCTCTCTTTCCTGCTCTTTACTAGTGATTCAGCTTAATGGTACATTAAGCAGGAAAAAAAAAGGGGGGGGGGGAGAGATTGGTAAAAGACCACGACTTCATCTTGGTTCATCCCTAGTGAAGGCATGTGCTACAGAAATGCACAAGGAGTCTGCAGGGCTCTCTCATGGCTGTTTTTATGGACCCCGTTGAATCCTCAGCTAGAAATAGCAGCCTCACTTAATCTTCAACAAAGCACAATTAGATTTATGTAACAGCAACAAACAAAAGCTCTAGAAAATGTATCAGTTAACTTCTCTTTTCTTAAGGGAAAAGAATTAAATATCACCCTTAATTCCATCAAAGGACGTGGGCATCCAAATAAGTTACCACATGGCAAAACTAGGGTACAGATTTACTACACACATCAGCACTCCATAGTAACTGTCCACCTTCACCCTCTTACCCTATATTAATTGTAAGGTAGCTTCTCAGTGAGAGGAAAAGGATTAGGTATCAGAACAATTTATAGGCATTTTTCTCCCAGAGTTGTTAACCTCTGGAAAGAAAAATATTCTTCCAGGCCTAACAGCTCTTTTGTTATTTTCAAGCAGTTTGTTTTTAAAAAGCTATGAAAATAACATCTTGGTGTAATTAGTTACAGTCCTATACATAATACCTGAACACAGATACAGAATCTGAAAGAGAACCAACAGCAATATCAGGGTAGGAATTTTTATCCAGGTCCATGTTTCCAGCAATAGAATAACCAAAGAAATTGGTGCCTGTTTTTTCACCATCAAGAATCTAAGGAACAAACAGATCGATGGGATTAGGACATTCAAAAGCTATAAAAATGAAATATTTACAGGTGAACATGATTGTTTTATCCCCCCGCCTCCCCCCAAAAAGGACACACACACAGAGGAAGTAGGATCTCTATGTTCAGGCATATGACACTGAAGAGCCAAGATGAATTGCTTTTCTTCCATGCAATAGCAAAGAAAGTGTAATTTTAAAAAATCAATTATAGAAAGTGTAACTTCTAGAAAGTGTAATTAAGTTCCCTTCTTGCCTTGCAAATTGAGTGCTCAGCTAGGGAAAAAAAAAAAAAAAAAACCACACACCTTCAACAATTTGTATTAAAAAAAAAAAAAGTGAAGTAGCAGCAAAAAGGAAAGTGAAGATATTGATTATCTTCAAAAGCAGATAAAATATTATGTATAGGCATTTCCAAAGAAGAAATTCTCTACTAATGTGACCATACTACCTGAATCAAGAGCAAAGAATTACAATTCTAATAATTCAGAAATCCTAGAATTTTTTTTTTCCTAAAAAAACAGAACTTGCACATCTACATGCCTTTTTCCTTCTCAACATATTAATGGTACCAAAGGACTGCCTCAGAAAGAAGGCTGCACATTAACATCAAGAATTCCTCATCTCTGAGGTGAGCAGTACAGTCTCAGCAGTTTCTGACGGGTCCTGTAACTTTTCTGCATACCCACTACCCCACTTAACAGTAACAGAACAAAAAGGGATAGTCCTCTCACACCTACAGTTTTATCAAGACTAACTATACACAGTAAAGGTTGGTTAATTACCTGCGCTGGTTTTGTATTTATTCCACTCTTGGATCCATGATAAATGTATACTTTGCCAAAACCATCATATGGAGCACCTACTGCAATATCTGTTGAAAATAAATTATGGTATCTAAAATAATTCTCAGTCTTTTTTGCAGCTTTCAATCATGATAAAGCAAGATGTTCCAAGTTTGGCATTAGCAAAAAAGTCATGTACATTCTTATTTTAATCATCTTTCACTCACCTGGAAATCCATCCTGATTAATGTCTCCAATGTTTTCAACTGCAAGTCCAAACATTGAGTCAGTGGTTCCATTTAAGCGAACAGGTTTTACCCCTTTCCATTTGCCTTGCTGGTTAATGTAGATATACACAGCACCACCAATATCTCCACTTCTGTCAAAATACTGCGGTGCTCCAACAACAATGTCTTGCCACCTTAAATTGAAAGAAAAGAAACACTATTTTTACAGAACTGTGAAAAATAACTAAAAATACTTGATAAGGACTATGGTCTCAAGGTCAGCTAGCCAAACTAAAGCTAGCTGCTAAACAAAGATCGTTAAAAAGTACATAAAACTGGCTCAGCAACAGGAGCTAACAGTGGCTCCACTGACGTTACAAGCTGATTGTTCTCCCTTTGGGACACGTAAGGATCTTCTTGCACCTTCTCTGGGTATAAAATTTGTTTCTTGTTTCTTTGTTTTCACCAACTTTTTAAGTTTAAATAAAATTGTCTTCTGTTAATTGTTCATAGACATTTTGTGTCCAAGACCTCTAAAGTAAATCAATAATCCTGTGACTAAAATAGACAGTGTGTCCTGCCTCATTCTCCAAGATGTTCACCTCCAGCAAAACACGGAAGATGTGAGTTGGTACTCCTTGCATTTCTAATGTGAAAACCAAATCAGAAATAAACCAGGTTTGCAATCTTTGCCATTCTTTATACAGGCACCACGAGCAATGGCCATACCCGTCATTGTTGAGGTCCACCACAGCAACATCATAACCAAAAGAAGAGGCCAGCCCTTCTCCTTCAAACATGTGCTCGAGTGAAAGCGCTCTCTGATTTTTCTCTTTTTTCAGTAAAACAACTGCTCCACTGTGGTTGGCTCTTGGTGCACCAGACACAAAAGTCATCTCATTTGGGGAGACAATTCCTTTACCAGAGTCTAAAGAGAAACCTTTAACAGAGAAAGAAATAAAGACATGTAAATAAAGGCTTGCATTGTTAATAGGAAAAATAAATTCCCCTACTATATTGAAGTGGTATATTGGATAGAAGCTTTGTCTAAAACAGAATATATGATATACTGGGAATCCTGCATTTTTATTTAAACTGGTGGGTGTGTGTTTACAAGCCTGAACTGCTACCTTTAAATATTTTCCACACAAAATATATTGATAAGAGTTTCCTTGCTCACTCAGCTCTATTTTTTGTAGACACCAAATACCAGATTGATTTTTTTTTAAAACATACCACCTTAGAAATGACTAAACCTTACCACTTTAATATAGCTCAAGTACTTCACCTGACAAATTGTAAAACTTCATTCAATGTCATTCTATTACAAACATGCAAGACACACTGTACAAGCATAGCATTTTATGTTAAAGATGTATACAGTATTTGAGAATCACCTTGTATAGTAATGGTGAAATTGACAGTTTTTATTTAATGAACCTTTAAAGGAAGTGTTCAAATGAATTTATTAAGTATTCTTTATGAAAGTTAATAGATTCAAAATACATGAAAAACTGAATTAAAAGCAAATTTTGAGGATACCAACATATCCAGTAAAGCCCAAAGTAAAAAAAAAAAAAGAAAAAAAAAAGAAAAAGAAGAAAAATATATACATATATATATACTGCAAGGAAGAGAAATACCAGACAGGATAGTAATCTCCTTTCTGAAACATTTCACCACTACCATTCAAATTCTCAATTACAGCAATTCATAATGAAACAGAGTTTCAGAAAAATTCAGTAAAACAACTCCAATTTGGTGGGAAGGAGGAGAGGGTTGGAGAGATGCATCACGAATCACTGTTTCTCTGAAGCCATCTTATGCTGCAAGTTACACTTCATCTGAATCCCTGTTGTGACATGCTTTTACTTGCAATGTATTTGAAAGGAAAGGGGAGAGGGGTGGATGTCATGTCAAAGGTCTGGCATTTATGCTGACCAGATGCTGCCAAATTGAGTGGTCACAAACCTAAGTAGCTATTCATCATTACATCCACTGCTTTGTCCACCTGTATGTGGGGAGGCAATGTTTTGTATACAAACTGATCTGGGTGAGTATCAGACACAGCTGTCAGAAATAGAAGACCTGCAAACATATGAGTGAAAGATTAAAGAGAAAAAAAAAGCAAAACACTAGTTAAGCAAAGTAACTGTAGCTATGCATATCTTTACTGTCTAAACATAGGGAACAGCAATGGCTGCGAACACTCTACTTGCACAGAAGTAGTTTTGATTGTAACAAATCCAAAGGCGGCCTTCATGTTGTTTAGGAGACTACATTTATTATGAAATAAACATTACATTTATTACAAGACTGCAGTGTAAAAATATAGACTTACTCTGTTCACAGCGAAAGACGACTCCTTCCACAGCATTCTTCTCCCTACCTCTCCCTACCATTTCTTCTTTCACTAGAAAAGGCTATAAGCTTGTCTTTGTAAACATACCTTTTTATGATTTTTTTGCTACCAGTAATTACTATCCATATTTAACTGCAGTTTATGCTCTGTTTCTTCTAACAGCTATCTAGCTCTAAGCTGGCTCTCTTCTCAGCTTGCTTTTTTTTTTTTTTTTTTTTTTTTTTAATATTAGCAATGCGCTTCCCATCTGTTCAACTTTCCACCACTAACATCTAAATTCCAGTTTGAAATTACCAAAAAACTATTTGTTGCATATGCCAAAAGCAGTGGATCAATATAACACAGAAATCTGCACCAGAACAGAGAGGTATGATCTCTTTACACTTAGGGTCTTTTCCAAAACGCAGCACAGCTTTTTCTCTGCATCAGCTTTTCTCGATTTACAGTAACATCCATTAGCCTAAGGACATAATCTTGCCTTCATGTTTGCACAAAGTACAAGAGACACTCTCCTCCCTCAACATACACACACACAAACTTGAAATATAAACACTACTCACGTTGCAATATTTTAAAAGGCATCTAAATCATCACATTGCATTTGATTTATTTAAGACGGCCGGCAAAAAGGCAACTGAAGTTTTAAAAACTTCAGAGGATTAAAAAAAAATTGCACTCACCTACCAGGAAAGAGAAACTGCGCTCTTAATCGTTGCATCCAGAAACTCAAGATTGTCATAAACGTTGTGATACCACATGGCAGAGACCTTGTGACTAAGGACTATAGATCTACAGACAGTACTTACCATTACACAGCACGATTATAATCACTCCCTGAGAATTTGTGGGTCCCATCATAGCTCTTGAATGTCTCATTAACATTAGCAGCTTTTGTAGGTACCTCAGTAGAGTACCATCTTACACTTTAAACTGGCCCATAAACGTGAAGGTAGATGTGAATTACCCAAAACAGGCAACATTTTAGAGGGTCCATAGACGAATAGCTTTTTGCTCCCATTTCATATTATTGCACTACATTGAGACCACAGACGTTTAAGAAGCCTACAGAGATTTACTGTATGTGCTTAAGCCTACCTAAATAACTGTTAGCTGGAACAGGAACTAGATTCTTATCTTGGCGGCTCTCATCACCAACTTCATAGGGCCCATCATCAAAGATGCCCAGATCATAAAATGTCTGATTCTTTTGCTCTGCACGAACCACCCCTGAAGAAATGAAATGATAAAATAAAAGCAAATGAATGGCAAGGGAAAAAATAAGAGATAAATGGTTCCTGACTAATATTAATTACCATTAATGAGATAGCAATAGCTACTTAAATGGAGAAAAATGCAGAATAGCACACAGGAAGAAATAATTTGCAAAAGGCAATGAATTTTTAACTTCCAGCGGTGTGCCAGAATCTTACGCTATTTTATACAGATGCCATGCAATGACTGGAAAACATGGGATACTCATAACATTTTCAACAAAAGCATGGAATTAGCTTGGTCATGAATCACTCTCCTCCCACATACCTTAATCCCATAAAGCCTTTCTTAAAAGGGAGATAAATGCATAGGATTACAAAAAAAAAGAAATCATAAAATAACTGTTTGATTAGGACAAACACTTGTGATGTATTTAGAAAATATTATCTAAGGGCAAAGGAGCGATAGCTCAATATAGTGGGTGATTCCCTTTTACTGACAGGCATATTTAACAATTTGGTCAGCACAAACATGTCTTTCCGAAATATGAAAGAGTACTCTTATGACTGACACACCTTCATAGCAGTTCTCTGCAATCAAGGTAAAGCAATAACTGAACTCAATATGCTGTTTCAGCTTGGTCACATTTTGTTGACAGAAACAGATATATGGAAGATTAAGTTTTCACAAAAGTATATCTTGTGCCAGAGCTTAACTCAAATATTTTGCATGGTTCATATGGCACTCAGGTGTATGAAGGAAAAAAATGTTAACGGTTCAAGGATCAGATGTGCTAAAGGGGGCAAGAAAAGTATTTACAGTTGTTGGTGTAATGAAGTGCAAATGAAAAAAATCACTTTAAAAAAAGACAGACAGGGCTGGCCATTTAGATGCTTGTCAGTATAAACCAGCGGAGAAAAATTCATCTGTTTTTTTCCCTAAGTTTTGGAGTTATCTCCTAGATGATACAAGAGTCCTTGTGCCTTTTACTCAGACAGACTATCCATGGAATTTTGAGTAAAAAATTTAAGGATTGATATATCAATATATGAAGTTTTGCTCTGCTCAGTTATCTTCTTACAATCCTCCAGTATTGAATTTGAGAAACGTGTGGAAAGCAGTATTTCCCAAAGAAGAGAACATTAAAGGATAAACAAAGATCTCAGTGCAGGTATCTAACATTTGCTCAAACGAGAATAAAATAGTTTAATAATTCGTTCTAGTATGAAATCTCAAAACAAACAGTCAATCCTACCATGAAATTAAGAGGAATACGAAAAAAATTTCCCATAGGTATGTGCAAAGTCCTGTTAACAATTCATAACTAGTCCCCTAAAAATATTTAAAGGAATTTCAGTAAATATTTGTGATATAAGAGCACAGCCTGTTGTGAAAACAGAGTAAAATATCCCCCATTAGATCCCCACTAGGTTTACTCCCAAAAAACATTTTTAGAAACTTGGATACAACTTTTGGGAAAAATCTAAGAGGAGTTGAGGGAGGGAAATCAAGGGTTGGGCAGGACGGAAGACGGGTCATACCTTTCCAATTGTAAGTGCCTGGGGCACCAAATACAATATAATGATAGTCTCTAGTAAAAGTAGCAGCAACACCTTGCTGACAGGAACCAAACTTCTCATGGCCTCTTAAACGACCATCACAAAAACTCCATACTCCATTATCCATATCATCCTTAATGGTGAGATCCTGGCTCAGCACATAGCACCTTCCAATGATATCCCGGGTTTCCTGCACTGTGTTTACATACTGCCTTTTCTCATAGCGATGTGCACATGTCTGCAAGATAGAAGAGATAATAAGCAACACTTTCTGGATGTTTTCATGCAAGTCGCCAAAGCAGAAGGCTGGTCTCCTTATGCAATACTTCGTGCTAACAATACTATAAGCAAGCCTCCCTGTGGACATAGCTGTGCAATACAGAAACTTGTATTCCCTATGGGGAGCGTATGGAAATAGTTAGGTATCTATGGATACAAGTCACAGCAATCAACTTTCTGCTCATGGAAGATGATGTGGTTAAACCCCTCTTCTCTGTGGGATTTATGGTTTTTAGCCCTAAACCTTCTCCTGATACCTAATCCTCCTCTTTCAAAAAGAGACTGGAGCGTTCTCACCTTATCCTCAAAAAGAAAGAGGTGGCTGCGCTTCTCCATAGCTGTAACAAGCTACATCACCTACATACTTACACAAGACATGGAAAGCTGGTTCAACTACCTTCCGCCTGAGACTGTTCAAAACCTACCTCTCCCAGAAAAGCGCCATAGATAGGAGGCTGAAAGCTTTTCCAGTAAGGGGAAGAGAAGGGAAGGAAAAAGGAATTGTTCCTACTTCTTATGTAGTGTGTTCCACTTTATATGGGATAATCAGTTGCTGGGACAGAGAAAGAGAAAAGCAATGAGCATGACCTTAGCCTAGTGGTTAGGCTGTTGACCTGGGAACAGTGACCTTGGCTCCAGCCCCTGCTCCAAGAACAGTTTACAAAGAATTTGGATCAAATACTTAACACAAAAGATGAATAGCCACTAGGAGTTTTGTAACCACCAAACCATTGTCAAAAAGAGGTGGTACAATCAAATAACCCCTTTGCCAGTTGCTTTTTGCAAAACGAGATGTGTTAGGTGTGGCTTGAACACAACAAACCAGCCAGATAAAATCAGAAAAATTCTGATGGTTCCTACCACGGCTGAAGTAGGAGGCAGACATTCGGCTGCTCCACACTACAGGCACTGCAGTACTCCTCAGGCATGCTGACAAGTGTTGTGCAGTACCCTACTGTACCATGACCTTCAGGCTGTCCACAGCTCATCTGCTACACCTCCATTTATCACTTACAAAGAGAAGTTCCTCCTCAGAGAAGTTGCAACACAGACAAGATGCATTAATTGATGATGGACGATTAAACGAACAGAATTTTTTCTGTCTGCGCTTACCCTCTGTGGGTTCTGCGGGACTGGAACAAGTCATTACTGTCTCTATTATCTTTAAGTAACTCCCGAGTTACCCTGAAGTAACTTGCATCCAATTTTGGAAGCAGTGAGATTCAAAGGGATAACCTGCAAGAATACAATTACATGGGGAAGCTCCACTGCACACCCATTTTATGATGAAGCTGCCATCCTATGGTACCATGGGAGGTAAATTGCATTGAAAAAGAGCTCTTAACCCAAAAGGAAAGATGCTAACATTCTCTGGTAACTCCTGAAAACTTCTTCTCTCTCTATCATATAAAATAGTAACTTGTATCATCATTACTATAAGGTCTTACTGCAGCATGCTCTTCCTCCTAAGTCCCGGCACAACAGCCAGCACTACGTTAATACATAGGAGCAACTCAACCAAAGTCCATGGTGAAGGTCAAAGTGAGGTGAATCAACTCAGACAACACGCTATGATAGTCTGCTACTTTTAAAAACTTTATCACAGTATTTTTCCCTATTTTTGTAGCAAATGATATTTAAAAAAAACAATGCCTACACCACAAAAATAAAATGGGCACACCATGAAAATAACTGCACATCCTAGACTGGTATCAAGATTATAAAGACAGGCTAACTCAAGAGTTAGAAAAATATTTTAAAACTTATAATCTCAAGGGTCTCATTTTGCT